TTGAATTTTAATTCTATTTCATGTAATTTATCATTTGTCACTTTATGTCTTGTGCGATTTTTTCTTTCATATATATATATATATATATATATATATATATTTGTTACTTCATAGTTCAATATAAAGTTAATATTTCATCATTTAATATATTATTTGGGTATTATATAAAAAAATTCACTTTATGCAATTTTTTTTATCTTGAGATTTTAAGACAATGTTAAGTTTCCTGAATCTAAGAGTTAAACACTTTCAAGGTGTGCATTGCTTCCTTAAGACAATCAGTTTAATTTGTTGCACCTACTATATCTAAAGGATAACCCTACCTACCATTAATAAAGACACTAAAGGGAAATCATCTGCATCTACATCTAGTTGTAAGATTTTAGCAAACATTTTAAAGTATCATCAAATTAGTCAGTATGGTAACGAGTGTCTTAGTAGGAACTTGCATATAGATATGAAGGAGAAAAGAAATGAAATTAATAAATTTAATGATGTTCATTAATTTGATGAAGAGATGAGTGATTTTGAGGATGTTTTAATTGATAAATCTTTCAATATCATATGATGCATCATAGTTAATGTTTAATAAAAATTTAAAAAAAAAAAAAATTTTGAAAAAAAAAAATATGATGCATCATAGCTGCTTTTGAAGGTTAAATTTGATTTGAAGAGGATTGCTATTTTGCAAATTTAGTTTGAACATGAGAAGCTATACAAAATCATAATAGATGTTGGAAGTTTGCCTTGGAGGCTTGGATCATATGAAGTTGAAATCTGAACCACATCTACAAATATTTAAGTCAGCTTGAATTGATAAAACTACTATTTTTGCATCTCAATGATATGTAGTTCTAATTCATATTAACTACTTATATTAATAGAATTTAGTGTGATTTGTTGCTCATGATATTTTTGATAGACTTTAGCTTTGATTTAGATGTTACTCATTTTAGGAGATCTGATAAATATGCTTTAAATAATGACGGCAGAATTGTAGTTTTAAACCTACAAAGCTAAAAGTAAAATTGAATCTGCAAAAGAATCTAGTATTCCAAATGAAGTTAAAAAGTCTTAATATTTCAAATAAGCATGTATTTAAGACAGAGAGCTTGCAAGGGGATGTGGTAATGCCTTGGTAGCTGTAAGTTGAATAATGTAGTACTTGAGGTTGTGAGTTTGCTGACGATGTTAATCAAATATTGACTAATTTTAAAGATATTCATCATAATGAGCTTTGTAATGATTTACCACTACAAAGTTATATACAATATATCATCGATTTAGTTTCCCAGTTCATCATTGCTAATTTTTCTTATTATATGATGAACCCAACAGACATGTTGAAAGTAAGAGATAAGTTGATGAATTACTTGAGAAGAGATCTGTTAGAGGAATTATGAGTTCTTACGTTGTGCCAACTTTGCATGCTCCTAAGAAAAATGAGAGTTGATAAATGTGTATATATAGTGGTACCATCAATAAAATCAAGAATAAATATATGTTTTCTATACCTCATTTGGATGATATTTTAGATGTGATGAATTGATGCTATGATATTTCATAAGATTGATTTAAGAGGGTGACTATTACCATGTTAGAATGAGGAAAGGTGATGCAGGACTAAATATGAAATGCAGTTAATTCATATGAAACTTGCACAACTCTTGATTAGAATAATCGTAGAACAAGACTAGTAGCAGTTCCAAACAACGAATCAAAACAAATAAGGGGTCACACCCGCTTAGGCTAAATTACATAACCTGAGAGTTGGAAAAATGTTCAAAACAAGTAGTAAATCACTTAATGCCGTAGTAGTAGTTTCAATGCAATCCCTAATCTAACAATGAAAATTAGTGAGCATAAAGGCACACTCTAAAACCCTATGTTTACTAAGCTTAGCAGTAGAAGGGAGAGTCGTCCTTTGTGACTGCAATCAAGCACAAGATAGAGTTAGACTAATGAAGTATAATGAAAAGGGGAAAAGAGAACCTCTCATCAAGGAGTGGTGGAGATCCTCCACTCGATGCCTTCGAAGTGCTCGTTGATGGCTTCCACTAAGGTATCCATAATACGCTCCAAGTAGTCCTCGACGGTATGATCGATCCTTGGATTCACGTCGAAGAAAGTTGATCGGAGAATATCGGTGAGGCCGTCCTTGTCCCAAGTCAAGCCGTATTCAGTTTCTGGATCCGCCATTCATGAATGCTAAGTAACAAATCCTTCAAGGGGGGTTGCTCTCTTCAATATTGGATCGAGAAAGAAGTTTCTTGTCGCTGGAAAGTAGAGGAAAGGCAAGAGCAACTTCCTTTTCAAAATCTGAAATTGTACTTCAGATTTTGAGAGTCTAAGGAAGACAACTTAATAGGGGGAATTCAACTTCAGCTTTGGGAAAAAGAGAAGAGCCCAGAACCTGAATTATTCTCAGGTTTTACCTTGGAAGGAATTTAAAATTTGAAAACAATTCCAAGAGGAAGAGAGAGGGAGGGGGGCGGCGGCAAAGGTGAGGGAGAGCTTTAATTCAATTCTTAAAGGAGTGATTTCCTTATGGAAATAAATTAATTAGGTGGGTATAGGGGATTTCGGCCAAAGGGGATTGGGGTGAAATTGGGAATTGTTTCCAAGAGGGGTGAGAGAGATTTAGGAAATAAATCCCAAAGGATTTATTAAAGGGGCTGGCGGCTTTTAAAACAAAGGAGGAGATTGGGGAGAGATTTGGGGTTGCTTAATTTGGGATTTATGATTTAGGAAAGAAATAATTAAATCCAATTTGAATTTGAAATTCAAATAGGATCAATTTAGAAACTTTCCAAAAACAGTGTTGGTAAATTAGGAAAGATTTCAAACCTCAAATTATATGAATTTGAATTTCAAAATCTGCCCAAAATATGTCCACCCAAATTAGGCAAGGGAATTCAATGGGGAGAGGGGATCTAGGTCGGCGGGTTGGTGGTGTTCGGGTATGGGGTTTGGACCGTGAAATTGAAAAGGGGAGGAGGGGAATCGGGGTGGTGGAGAGGCTGGCGGCTTAGTGAAGAGAAGATAGGTCGGTTGGGCAGGGTTGACTGGCGGTGGAGAACAAGGGAATGAGAGGAGAAGGGAGGAGAACCAAGAGCCACCAGTGGTGACTGTTGGGTACGACGGGTGGCCTTTCCTAGGCTCCACCAAGCTCTCTAACTCTCTTTCAAGCTCTCACAAAAACGTCAAGAATCACAAGTGCTGGAAAAATCTTCTTAATCATTCATTAACTTCAAAACATAAGGCATGAGGTTATAAATAGCCAAGTACAAGGACTCAAGAAAAGTAAAAGATAATCTTGCCCTTTGGGCTTACATATGACATTCCCCACTAAAAGGGTACAACTGGAAAATTAATAAAAACAAATACATGACACATGAAAATAGAAAAATACATGAATAGGAAAATAACAAAAGTAACTCATAAATATAAGGACTCGATCGTGCCCGTAGATCGGCGGCCACGCCTCTGATAAACCTTCCATGAGCTGATGTCCTCATCAAAAGGTGATTAACAAAAAACTATTTTTAAAATAAAAATTAGATTAGATGAATAATTGATGATGTCTTCAAGATTAATTAACCCTCCAAGTACTTTTTTTATTGAAAATGAATCATGTCTTGCATGTTTTCGTCTGTTTTTTTTTTAATGATATTTAAATTTGTTAGAAGAAAAGAAATGATCATTTGATGTAACTTATTAGAGTATTTAAGATTTTATGAGATGAGAAGTTATATCCAAAGCTAAAGATATATTGCTTTGTGATTCTGTATGCGATCTTAAGTTTTGCTATGTTTGAAGATGGTTTATTCGTTGATTTTGATAAGTTTTAAAGTGATTAATAATTAGCCAAAATCTATCAATATAATGATGTTTATAGTTTTTATGGCTCGACTATTTTTTTAAGGCAATTTATTATAGGGATGAGTATTATTGTTGCTCCAATTATGAATTGTTTGATGAAAGGTGAGTTAAAATGGATTTTAAATCTGTTAAATTGTACTTAAGTTGCCTTATTTTGATAGTTTCTGAGCTTAATTGTTATGCATTTGGTGTTAGTATTGGAGTACTATTACACTAAGGACATCTTATTTTATTTTTTAGTGATTAATTGAATAAATTCAAATAAATTATTCAAGCCATAATTAAAAATTTTATGTTATGTTGCAAGTTCTTTGATATTGTAGATAATAGTATCTATTACCTAAAGTGTTTTTGTTTTACTTTGATCTTCAAGCTTTAAAATATCTAAGTTCTTCAAATAAGTTAAGGCATAGAAATGCTAAATGATTTCAGCTTCTACAAAAATATTTACTTGTACTTCCTTGATGCTTTGAGTAGAGCTTTAATCCTTCTATGTCAAATGCAACTTAAGGTTATTTGTTTTGATCTTATAAAACAAGAGTTGCCACTGGTAAGGCTTTCAGTGAAAAATTTCAAGATTTAAATAATGATTTATCTTCACTTAACAATGAATTCATGATTAAAGACTATTACTTATTTAAGAGTACTTGTCCTTCTGCTCCTGATTCATCATCAAGGGATATTTTGACTTTAGAATAATATGTCAAAGGTTTTGCTAGATATTTTGATAGACATAAGATCATTGTAAGAGTTGAAGGTAAATGTTTCTATCTAAGGTTGAAAAAATAATACATAGTTGTATATATCTCCATTAATTCCATATAAATCGTGGAATGATGCTAGTCTGGATTTAATGTTAGGTTACCACACACATTAAGGAAATATTACTCTTGTTTTGTGGTGGTGGATCCTTCTTTTCAAAGATGACATATTTAATATTATGCCATAAAATTGTTGATGCGTTTCCTTATATTTTAATATACTCATTAAATTGCATGATTTATCTAAAATAATTATTTTTGATCGAGATTTAAATTTTATTTATTGTTTTTTAAGAACTCTTCGGTAGAAAATGAGAACATAACTTAAATTTTCAACTACTTATCATCCACAAATTAATGGCAAACTAAAGTGTAGCATGAATATCAAACAGGTCATAGCAGCGACAAACCGTGCTGATATTCTAGATCCTGCTCTGATGCGATCTGGCCGTCTAGATCGCAAAATCGAGTTCCCTCATCCCTCAGAGGAAGCAAGAGCTAGAATTTTACAGGTACAATGCTCTGTTTATGAGTTTCCTTTCACTTATTTTATGCAAACTATTGTAACTCTTGGATCAAGAAATGAAATATATCAGAGTTATCATTTTATGCTAATGCTCTTCAATTATCGTTGAAATTTAGATCCACTCAAGGAAAATGAATGTGCATCCTGATGTCAACTTTGAAGAGCTTGCTCGCTCTACAGATGATTTCAATGGAGCTCAATTGAAGGCAGTTTGTGTGGAAGCTGGCATGCTTGCTCTACGTCGAGATGCAACTGAGGTTCCATCCTAAACTTTGTTGAACTTGTTTACTATATTGATTGCATTGATTATTTTGATTTTATTTCTTGTGTTATGGGTTGTTTGGCTTTTGGGTGAAAGTGAGTGAAGAGATTTATCCTAAACTTAGGGGTCAAAGTTTTTTTGTATATATAATTTAAGAGAATTTAATGTTAAGTTTCGTTTGGGACAGCTTTTCACTGTTTTTTCTCGCTGTTTTTAAAGAAATTTTGTGCTGAAAATCTATAGGAGAAAGTAGGAAAATTGACCCAAATAAAATCTTAGGCTTTGTTTGGGACGGTTTTTTCTACTACTTAAAAGAGCTTTTTAAGTATAAAAATGTTAATTTTTAAACAAAAAATTTGTTTTAAGAAGCAATAAAAAGCCGTCTAACGAAACTTTAATGTTGAAGTAAAGCTGCAATTTGCATTTTTTTTCCCATAACGGGGACCTAACAAGATGTTTGTAACTGTTATCTTGCAGGTGATACATGAAGATTTCAATGAAGGCATAATCCAAGTGCAGGCCAAGAAGAAAGCCAGCTTGAACTATTATGCTTAAAGTAGATTCTCATGTTTCCTCCGCTGCTTTCACAAGATTTCTGGCCTCTGTAACATTGAAGTTAGTATTGCAAAAACTAAATTTATGAAACTAAAAAGAAAATCTCTACCCTTTTGGTTCTTATGCTGCTTGAAAATAGAATATAGGCTTCGTTTGAGGCAACTTTCATATTACTTTCTAAATTGGCTTTTTAATACAAAAAAAAATTAAATTCAAAATGTTTTGATAGTAAAAAACTGTTTTAGAAAGCAAGAGGAATTCTTATTGCATTTTAAAGTAGCTTTTTAGTAAAAATTTTAATATTTATATTAAAATTTTATTTTAAGAAGCATTAAGAAAGTCGTGCTAAGAAAGATAAAGAACTTGGAATATATATTAAAAAAATTTAAGGCTTTATTTGAGATAATTTTTTTTTTTCTATTTTTTAAAGTAATTTTTTAGTAAATTATTTTAAGAAGTAATAAAAAAATTGAATGCCCTAATGTAAAACAAAAGAATGTTCTGCAAACATTTCTTGTCTTATTGTTTATTTGCAAGCAAATTATGCATGAAAAATGATCTTATTTTTCATAGAAAAATAATTACGTGTAATAGAGAGTTGAGTATCATTGAATTTATTTTGGTATTGATGTTGTATATATATATTGTATATTGTATTACATTAATTTTAAAATATATTTAATAAGCTCCATGTTAATAAAACTTGTATACAAATGTTCTACAATTTTTTTTTCTTTTTGGTTGCCTCTTTATTTTCGATGTGTTACTTGTTGTTCGGTTTGATTAAATCTCGTTTGTGGTTGTTTAACTAATTAAACAAATAAAATTGAACAGCATTTTTAATATTCGATCTTTAAATAAATAAGCTTGATTAGTTATTACACATCCCGATTAAATTTTTGTGATGATTTATTTATTTTAAATTAGTATTTTCTCAAAAAAAAAACTAACTAATTAACTATTATATTTTAATTTTCAAAAAATAAATATAATTACTATAAAAATATATTCCAAAGAATATCCGCTCATATTTTGCCACAAAGGTGATCGTCGTAAATCCTCCACTTCTTAAGGAGCCATATAAATTAAAATAATAATTATTATTATTATAAATTAAACAACTAATTAATATTTTCAAATCCAAATTTTTCGACGACCAAATTAAATAAGCCTCTCTCAATGTTAATATAAATTATATATATCCAAAATTTATAGCACAAATTTTTCTAATTTTTTTATTAAGAGTGCTATTGTTAGGCTTTATTTGGGATGATTTTTTTAACTCTTTTTAAAGCATCTTTTTTATACTAAAGAGTTACTTAAAGAAACAATAATAAATCAAATAAAGCCTTAGTCACAAGGAAATTTCAAGGGGAAGTACTAATTTATTTATTTTAATTTTATGATGGTAAACATGTTTTTAACAAATTCAAGTGAATATTAAGTGCTTTAAACATTTCTTATATGCTAACTCTAGTGGCATATTAGTAAAATTGAATAGAATAAGATTATTTAAAAACTCAAAAGTTTGATCTTAAATACTCTTATTATTTAACATTAATTGTACGCTTATTTTGAGCATTATCCTACTTGACATATGGACCCAAAAAAAAAATTGTTACCCTGAAAACTTAAGTTTCATTAGGGACATATTTTTTTTTTTATAACAAAAAACAATGGCCTAAAATTATCCTAAATAAGTCAATAAGCCTTATGCTTCATTTGAAACAGCTTTCTTACAACTTCTTGAAACAACTTTTTAAAATAAAATTAAAAATTTTTACTAAAAAATATTTTGAAAAATAATAATATAGCATTATCAAACAAAACCTTAAACAGCAAAAAATTTTGAGAGCAAAAATTTTTTTGCTGTATGCATCCTACTATTCTGAGGATTTTTACTTGTACAGCAACTGGGTGCCTTTTTATCTTTGTTTTGTATGATGAATGAGAAAAGAACATAGGTTTTCAAGTTTTTTTTTTTTTAAATCTTTTTAGAAATAATTGCTTTGTCATTCTATTAAGTGTGGTTGAGGAAGACAAACGATTAGGGCTGCAAACGAACCGAGCCGAGCCGAGTATGTGAGTGTTCATGTTTATGTTCATTTAATATCAGGTTGTTCAAGTTTGGTTCATGTTTGTTCGAGCTTTATTGTTTGTGTTCATGTTTGATTCATTTAAATTAACGAGCGTTCATGTTCAGTTCATGTTTGTCCATTTAGTGCTTATCGAGCTTTAAACAAACAAACAGGAACGAGTTATAAACGAGCTCTACTTTTAGATGTTCATTAACTTAACAAACGAGCTTTATCGGGCTTCCTAACAAACAATTACATCGAGCATGTTCGTGAACTCAATGTCGAGCTCTATTTATATTATTATATTTATTAATTTTATAATCAAATATTAATTGTTTTTATCAAGCTTATTCACGAGTTCAAAATCGAACACGAATCGAGCTTCTTAACGAGCTTAATGTCGAGCATGTTCACGAACTTCAAATAATGTTGTTCGCGAACAAAAATGAGCCAAACACATTAGTGTTCAAGCTTGTTTATTTTAGAATCGAGTATTTAAAATATTGTTCAAGTTTGTTTGTTTAGTTAATTAAACGATCATGAACGAGCTTTAAACTTTAATTTTAAGCTACTTTTGAGCATTACCCTACTCATCATATGGACCCCCAAAAAATAAATTTGTTACCGTAAAAATTTAAGTTTCATTTGGGATAATTTTTTTATTATTTTTTATAACAAAAAACAATGGCCTAAATAAGTCAATAAGCCTTACAAAATTTCATTTGAGACAGCTTTCTTATAACTTCTTAAACAACTTTTTAAAATAAAATTAAAATTTTTATACTAAGCTCTATATTCCACGTGTGGTTGAGGAAGACAAACGATTGTGAAAGAAAAAAAAAAAGTCTAAAAGATGAAGTCATCATTTCAGTAAAAGGGAGTCAAAAGGGCATTTTTTTTTATTACAAAACCAACATTTTGAATAGATGTTTGTAGGTATGCTCCACCTAAAATATACACATTTGAGACATAAAATTTGCAGATGGGTGCTCAGTACAAAGCAGAAGCACACATCTCAAAGAAATGGTGATTTAAATTGATTTGTTCTATCATCTAAGTACTGAATAATGGAGATTTTATTTAAAAAAAAAGGCAGTGCCATTATGAAGAAAATAAGTATATGATATAGAGTTTTACAGGTGGAACCTATTCTCAGGGTGGCTATCACTTGGCCATAAAAGAGGCTTTACAACTGCATCCTCCAACTGCACTTGGATTTGTTGTAACCTGCACATCAAATTTCATTGTAAAAGTTTGCTATAAACTAAGAGTTCTGGATCAAAAGAGTAAAGCAAATATGTAGTCAAAAAATAAAAGAGAGAAATTATATTAGTTCATGACATGGAAAATATGAGGAAATCCTCCGAATGTAGATATAAGTGTTGCAAACATAATCCTTATACATATCAAGAAATGACACTCTTAACTAAGGCTTCGTTTGGGACGGTTTTCTTATTGCTTCTTAAAGCGGCTTTCTAGTTCAAAAATTAAAATTTTAATACTACAAAATTGCTTTAAGAAGCAGCAAGAAAGCCGCCCCAAACTAAGCCTAAGTGGTTGGGTAATGAGAGTGTAATTCATTAAGGTTTTGTTTGGGACGACTTTCTTATTGCTTCTTAAAACAGTTTTTAAGTACAACAATATAGAAAGTTGTTTTAAGAAGCAATAAGAAAACCGTCCCAAACAAACCCTAAAACAGACGTAGAACCAAACAATCTGCTTTTTTTTTAAAAGTTGTTTATATCATGATATCAATATAGTACAAACTGCTCTAGTTTAGCTCCTATTATCAATCGAAATAAAAATTTCTTCACTTCCTATCCTAATATTCAATTGACCTAAAGTCTACTCCATTATTTAGGTAATTTCCCAAAATTTTGATTTGTAGGTCCTGATCCTTTTCCATTAAGAAAAAACACTTATCATTCAAAAAGTAGCAAATAAAGTGTATTCACTAGGGCAATGTTTTCTTATAAAAAAAAAAAATTAATTACGTAGGTCCTATCATCCATATTTCCCTCGAGTGACTTATGTGCCTCTTTTAGTCACAAGAACAATGTCCTCTCACTATCCATGACGCCGCCCATCTCTCACTCATGCGAAGCCTTTGCAATCGATGGATACTCCAATACTAGCCTATCACACCCTATGTCTCTTCCCTCTTGTTCGGCTTGATTGTTTTTCCTCTCTCACTTGTGACTTCAATAGTGCTCACACTCCCTGTGTCCCTTTCGCTCACTTTGGCCTCAACACTTAGCCCTACTTCTCTCCCTTCACTTCATGTGCTCTCTATGAATCACACATAGCTTTCGATCTCCCCCAACATGAGCTCTATACTTGATCGTCTTGTTATTTGACCATGTGCCCTATAAAATCTTCCACGCACAGGCATAAGGCTAAATTTAGTCTTCCTTCTTGAAACAATTCCCACATATGAAGATGCAGGGAATGAGGGGAATGGAAAAGAGTTATCAATCTTTCATCCAGCTAAGTTGAAGACCATATACTAACAATTTTTTATCTAACTGGGTTTTGAAAGCCACCACTTTATCTTTGATCTTTAATCCAACACAAGGTCTCTCCTATGTATCTTTGATTCAAATGATGGGTGTGAATGCTTTTTTACTCCAACAACGACACATAATGGAAAGTTTGATGATGAATTACAAATTATTGTTGAACGACTATCATGGTGGCTGTTTAGTTGATCTAAACTTGTTGATGCGCCAAATCTCTCTGGCTGTCAACCAGAGCAAAATAGGTTGATGTCATAGTTCTCATAACAACTAATGAAGAAATAAGAAAACAAGATAAAAAATAATAACTCTTGAAAAAATGAAAACGAATGCATGTGAAACAATAAGAGACATTCATCTTTAGTTCAACTGATTGAAAGCCATATATGTTGATAATTAATCCAACTTAATTTTATAGAGCACCCCTTTACCTTGATCTTTGGTCCAGCATGAGGCGTTTCCTCTCTCTATTGATTTTTAGTCCGAATATAACTGATTTAATTCTTGTGTTAGGATGAAATTCAATAATAACTTTTGAACAATCAATAAGAAGAGGCTAACACAGTTGTTTAGTGACCTCAACGTTATCAACATGCTTAGGACGTGTTGCCATTATAAAAGACAAACCAAACTCCATTGGCATTGTCAAAGTCCCTTAGGCAAAGAAAGATTGGAAAATAAAAAATAAAAAAATAGGTTGATAGGAACCATAGTAACGATATGAACAAAGAATGCAAAACTGAATTTGCACCTATATTTGGGACGACAAAGAAGATGAAATTTTTTACCAGCAATACACAAGTTTACAAATGTCTTACATGTGATAAAAGTTCACTTAGGGCTGATTGGTTGGAATTTTTTGGGGTGTAAAGTAAACTACATGCAGGAATTTTAACTTTTTGAGTTTTTGGTTTAAATGCAAAAGTAAAGTAAAGCAATATCAGGGTATTCTAAAACCCACACGTTAGCTTATTTTCCGCGTAAAAGGAAATCCCTCAGAATTGAATGAGAACGAATTACATAGGACGTGCGAGAAAGAAAAGTGAAGAAAGAGGTTGATACATCCATCTTCTTCGAAGGCCGCACCAGTGAACGTCATCGCTAAAGCTCGGGAATCACGAGCGTCACAGCTTACCACGCACATTGTGTCGATGGAACATTCCTTTCCCTAGCTTGCGACCGTCACAACTCAAAATCGCGATCAGGCTTGCCTCACGACCGTCACAACTCAAATTCTATTAGGCTCAAATTCACGAACATCATGGCTTGCCCACCACCTGCTTCGCCTTTAGAGGAAGAAAAAGAAGAAAGATGATGATGATACAAAGGCAAGGGTGCAAGTCAAATCATCGTGATAGTATCTTGTCTTCCATTGGTGAGGAAGGCTTCAGATTCTTCAACAGTGAGGAAACATACACTTTCTTCTCCTCGAGGAGTTTCTCCTCTGACTCTTTTGAGTTCTACCACCGCCCCTCATCAAAAAATCTAATTTTTCTTCTTGTCGGCGGAAGACAACGACACTGGCTAGACGAAGTAATGCTTTCAACAATGGTTTTTAGCCTTTGGTTCCTATTTCTTTCTCTGAAGAAAACGAAGCAAAGAAGAAGTATACAGAAGTTCTTACTAAAGTTACAGTTGAATGCATCAATTTTACTTTACTCTACATCCGCTCAACGAAACAGAAAAAATTGTTCTCATATATATACTTTACAGATAACCAAACAATCTCAAAGTATTTACTTTATACAGTATTTATTTTACACTGCATTTCTTTTTCAACAAACCAAACATCCCATTAATGATTGCAAAGCTACAAAAATTAGCTAGTTAGCATTTGAATTTGTAAAAAAGTTAACCAAATTTGAATCAATCCAACAATTGTAATAATGAAACAAATATGTTCATTTTATCCTACAGCAAACAAGCAACCCTACAAACCACCACTATAGGGCAAAGTTGCAAGACCCATTTTGAGTCAACTCCAATGTCTGAATTGTAATTCCAACATACAAGAATTCCAAAATTAAGAACTATAAGCCCCAACCTTTTGAGCAATTTGTAAACAAAACACTAAGCCACAAATTTTAAATTAAATTAATTCCAATGCAAGTCAAGAATCTAAATAAAAAAAGACGGGCTTACCTCATGTTCAAGGTTGTAAACACCATTTATGAGCATTCTTTAAGATGAAAGCCACGACCTAAATAACCCGAACATCACAATGACCATTAACCCAACTTAATTAATTGGGACAATATAAAGATGTAAGCCCCATTAAACCAACCAAATTAATTGGGCCAACTCAAAAGCTAGCAAACGCATCAAGTTACACAAGCTTTCATATGATTATAAGCCCCAACCTAACTAATCAAGCTACCTCATAGTAATGTCATAAGACCCATTATTAGGCTTTCACGTATTTGACACCGTAAGTCCCCTTTTTGGGCATGATAATTCCAATGATTGTAAGTCTCACCATAATTAATAGGGACAACATGAAGTTAGCAAGCCAATTAAATCAATAAGGTCACCTAGCTATAAGGTACGGTCATAAAACTCATTATTGGGCTTTCCTCATCTTCAGCTACTCATAAGCATTCTGATCGATATAAGCTTCAATTCAAACTAAACTTGGGCTAGGTTCAATGTTTACAAGCCTATTGATCAAAATGGGAACACTTGAAATTCTTGAGGTTATCAAGAATGATATTCTATTTCAAAACCATGTTCCCAAAGGATATTGGGGAGAAATGCATGATCCATAAATCAAGTATAAACTTAGTTTATGCAAAAATGTCGAGCTTGCTAATGAATGCAAGCTGGCTTAAATTTTGATTCAACTAGACTCCATGGCCTATTAGAATACAATTTGTTCAGCCAGCCCAAATTCAACATTTTGATTTCAGGTTAGGGTAAAGTTGTTTAAACAAAACTTCACCTATTATCACAAATATTATGATAGTACTCACTGATTTCTTTGTTGGATGCTATAGCCTTCAAATGAGTTATCTTTTAAACACATCAGGCGAACGCAGTTCAAACCTGTTGACTATCAATGATGTGCATGGAGTTACTATCATTGGAACTCTTAACTCAATACATACAGTACCGATAATACAGATGAGTTAAGCTTGTAAAAAACCATACAATCAATAGATGCAATGAAAATATAGCTCTTTATAACAAAGATAGTACCATAAGCTAATGATGGATGAAAGGATCTAACCTGGAAACCAGAGCGAATCAATTCATCAACATAATCAACTGTGGCACCTTTCACAAAATCATAAGATATGTCATCAACCACCAACTTCACGCCATCCTTCTCAAAAATTCTACAAACATAACCATAATAATATGAGAGAATGCCCTCAATAAAGCAGTGTTAATCACTTTATTAATTTCATACCGGTCATCTTCAGTTTTCTTCTCATCCAACAGAAAAGCATACTGAAAACCAGAACAACCACCCGTTTCAACACTTAAACGAAGCATCTTTCCTTTAAAAGATTCTTCCTTTGTATTCAGTTCTTTCAATCTCTACAAAATAGTATGATAAACGAAACAAAAGTTCATTATGGGAAATCATACCGAGACATACAAATTTAAAAGCACAAACCAAATTCCATAATTTAAAGAAAAACAGTAACAAAATACAACCAACTTGTGTTCAAAATGCATCATAATAAAATAATTGCATTGAAAAAACAAAAATAATGCTCCTGAGATAAGATTTCCACTGAGACAATCATATCAGTTAAAACATACTAAATCTCCTCCTAAGAGAATGAGTCGAAAAGAAAAAAAACATCTAAGGTAGGAATTAGGGCATCAAAACATACACCAAGATTGGGAACAACAAATTACTCAAATAAACTAGCTCCAGATGTAATCAAGAACAGGCAAGGGAAGTTACCCTGACGCAGTTATCGGTCATGTACACAGCTGCGTGTTTGTCGGTGGATAATTCCTCTGTGGCTGAGGTCAAAAGCCGCCGGTTCCGCTCGATGTGAACGCGAATTAATGGCATCACCCGGTAGATAAACGATCTCGACATCTTAGGGGCTGTTTGGTAGCAGGATTTATCCCGGATTTGAGCGAAATCCAGCCAAACGGCCAAAAATGCCTCCTTTTCGTGGTAAATCCCGGATTTCCGAAATCCTCTTATTCGGCGTATTTATGGGATTTGGCCGAAGAAGCGCGCGAAAGGGAGAAAGTTACCTTCACAGCGAACGAGCTCCCTTCGCTGCTTCCGATCAAAATGTCGCAACTTCCGATCCAACAGGAAGGGAGCGCCTGTGAGGAGCGATTGAGCGAAGTCGAACAGCGATGCAGGAGCCGAAGAACAGCAAACGAAGAAATACAGGGAAAAGCAAACCGTGGGGCCTAAGCTATGTAAAGAATAGTGCAAATCTAAATAACTTATTTTAATGAAAATTATTATATTTAATTAATTAACTAATTAATAATTAATAAAGTTATTAAATTATGTTAATTATAGTTTCATTTCAATTAGATAAAAAATTTGATTAGCTATAGCTGATACTATTTTTATTTAATTTTTCTAAATAAAAATAATGAGTTAATTAATGTAATTAATTTATTTAATAAAATTTATATTTATTAATTATATTTTGTATGATTTAAATAATCTATTTCGAGGACTTGAGGATTTGCTACTATTTTGCAATTATTTTCTTAAATATTTAGATAATTCTAAAAACTATTAATATTAAAAAAATAGAAGATTATTTAAAATGAGTAAACTAATCTTAAATCTAATTTTTATCATAACTTTGTTATATTTTATTTGAACTTCTATTAATGTACTTTAATTATCCAAGGAATTCATATCAAATATATTAACCACTTTAAATCCTGAATTGAATAGTCAAACAGTCACACATGAATTATCATACATGTTACCAAACAGTTTCTAAGACTTAACCTCCCTATAATTTCATAAATCCGGATTTAGAGAATTTACTAAATTTTTCTTAAATGAAATCATAGGTGCTACCAAACCTCCCTTAAACTCCCTATCCCTTGCCCTAGATCATAGCAAATGGAGGAAGATATGGAGAAAAGAAGAGAGAAAGAGAAGGATAGAGATTAGTGGTGGTTTGGTGGAGACCAAGCTCATCATTTTCAATTATGATGGGAAATCAACATTGTTCGCCGTGAGCATCGACAAAATACAACGAAGGGATGCCACGAGAACTTTAACCTAAATCATGCTGAATAGCCAAAATGACAACTTTAAAATCCTACAAATTTACACTCTCGTGAGAATTCCCTTCAAATTTACACACACATAAATCCCGTTCTCCTCCATTTTGCCCTAAATCCCGTATTTAGAGCTTCTCCAGCCGTTCGGCAAACAAGCGAATGAAGAGCCTCATACGTCTCAACCGAACTCCATTTTTGTCGTCATTTAGTTGCTGATGAACAGTTCACTTTCACCATTTCTTTCTCTCTACCGAACTCAGTATGAGAAAGGCGCGAAAGAAACGACAATGATTTCGAGGCAAAATGGCGTTCCACTGAAGATGAATCATGACACTTTTTGATTTTACTGCATTTTGAAATGAAAAATGAGAGTTCAATTGGAGATACCCTTTTGAAATTTAGCAAACCATAGCAAGGGAAATATGAGAATTACTTAGTTCAACAACAAGCTCCCATCGCGTGCCTGCCTTACATTCATCGATAGCTTTCAGCAAGAGCGCAAAGAGTAGAGAGGACAGACGAGAACTTTTATTTTAATAAATTGAATAATTAAATCTATTAAAAAAATAAATTAATTAAAATTTTACAAAATAGAATCTATAAAATTAAATCAGATAAATTAAATATACAAATTAAAATTCTAAATTAATAATAATTAATTACAAAAATAAGCTAAATTATTTGATAATATTATGAGTTAATAAGAACATGCTTTGACCTTTAAATAATTAGATATAATTCCAACAATATTACTTCACCAATAAAAAAAATTAAATACCATATTGATAGTTTCTTTTCTTAAAATTGTCATTTAAATATTATTTAATTGATTTAATCATAAAACTAGACCTAAATTGGAGGGATTTATATGATAATTACCATATAACTTTGGGAATTGAACAACACATTTTAAGTTTAGATTTGCACTGGACAATCTTTCTCAATAAAATATTAACAAACTATCAGAAGACCACAATAACGAAAAAGGTTAGTTGCGAAAGCAACAGAGTTGAGGTTCAACACAACATATTTGCATGTTACTGTGTGAGGCTGAAGAATAGAAATCATCCATTTGAGGCATAACTCAAAAAAGAGAAAACTGCAGCATGTGGCAGATTAAGAATTACAGAACAAGTTGGAAGTGAGGATCGTTTACAAATAATTTTATAAAACATAAACTAGAGCAAAGCAAAGCATAAGTATCAATAAGAACACAACAAAGCCTATCATGAAGGTTGTACTAGGCCAAATAACCAAGGTAGAAGAAGTATAATGGTGACAGAAGTTGATTTGTCTGAGTGTAAAGAATAAATCATCCATTTTCAACGTAGCCATGAAAAATAAAATTATGGTAGGATGTAGATTCAGAGTTCGCAAAGCAAATCCAATTAAGAATCATTTAAGTAAAAATTATGCAAATCAATTGATCGAAAGACGCCAACAAAGGAGGCTCAGAATTGCCCAGTTTTCATCAAAATGATATAAAGGATGATAGTGCATGCAATACGTTTGGTTTTGGGTCTGAAGAAAAAGAAGAAGAAAAAGAAGAAGATAGAAGAAGAAGATACCGTTGCTGCTGCTGTTGACGAATTATCAAAATTAATAAAAGCAGTATGAAACAGCAAGGAAATCGGTTGCCTGCATTTAGGCCCTCCAGGATCACCTTGCGACATCTGCTTGGGCACATCATCAGAGCCTCTTCAAGTAAGAAGATATTTACAACAAAACATTATGATATAAGTACAAATTTATTGATAAGATCACAGAATTCACACAAGAGGATGGCACAATGACTAAAAAGGATATCAGATGGAGGAGAAAGATGAATAATTATATATTAAAATTTTGTTTAGGATGCTATTTTTCATTCCATTTGTTTATAGAGATAATATAATAGAGGAACTTGCAAAACAATCATAAACGAAATTGTCCTTTTAAATGTCTGAACTATATTTACCAAAAGATATTTGGTATTTTTTTTCAATTTGAACAGCTCAACTTCTTTCTGGAAGAGTCTGTTTCGGGTGGCTGCAAATAGGGGTGCAATTGAGTCAAGCCAGCTAGCTAGAAATTAAGAAAAAGATACAGTACTGAGATAAATTTCATCCTAGCTGTTGGGAAAAGCAGCCCATACAGACTGTTGAAGGCAAGAAAATTATGTTTGGATAAACCAATTGTTGAGGTGGCAAAAAGCTCTATCTCAACCATTGCTGCCAGCCTGCCACCAAATGAAGTAAAGAAGCAACAAGGGATGTTCACCATAAAACCAACACAAGCCGCGCATTTGGAAAGGAAGCAGACAGGATAACATAGAGCAGAACGATAAACATGGTTGAAGTTGTTTACCAATATATCCACAGCATCTTTTGTGGTGCCACTGGATGGTGCAGATAAATACAACAGCTTATCTTCAGATTTGAACAAAAAATTGTATTGCTGTAAATATCAACCTTCCAATATGTTAAAAATCCCAACCATCCCTTGGCCCTTGATCCCAGGGCCGGCATTAAGATCCGTGAGAGGCTCACCTAGATCACTTTGTTAAATCTCATCTATCCCTTCACCCTTGATCAGAACCCAGCACTCAACAAATGGATATGACAGTTGCGAGATGCTGTTGATGAGGCAGATGATGTGCTTGATGAGTTTGAGTACATGAAGCTTGAAAAAAAGCTGACCAAAAACAAGAAGCAGAGAAAGGTGCGTTCCATCATGAAATCCATAAATAAAAGACTGTCAAAATTGGCAAACATGCTCTCAAAATTGATCACAAATTGAAGAGGCTGGAGGAGGTTGTGCTGAAACTAGATAAAGTTTCAGCTGGGGTTAGTACTTTTCTTCATCTTCTAGATGGCACAAAGCAGGAGCAGCAGCGTGGTGTTGTTCGAAGCACGTGAAACAGGATCCTTGCCTACAAATGATCTAATCAGTAGAGGCGAGTCTACGACGTTTGTTATGCAGTGGTTGAGGAAGCCATCAAATGAGCCTAGGACAACAAGGTTCAGAAACATTTCACTTCTATCTATAACGAGTCATGGTGGTATGGGAAAGACAACTCTCTTGCAACATGTTTATGAAGATGAAATGACAAAGGAATTTGATCTTAAAATGTGGGATTGTGTTTCCAACCACTTTGATGTGAAAAAAGTCTTTCTACGATGCACAGATACGGACACAGCGACTCATTTGAAGACATTTGAGGTACTTCAAGATAGTCTTCGGGCCGAGATGATGTCCAAAAAGTTCTTACTTGTGCTGGATGACATTTGGGAGAATGATGAGCAGGATAAAGAAAAATGGGAGAAGTTGCTTGCTCCTCTGGCTTATGGGAAAACTGGAAGTAGAATTTTGGTAACAACTCGAATGGATTCAGTTGCTATGATGATTGCAACGGTCGCTAAAAAGAAGACGGAAATATTTAGATTAGAGGACTTGGAGGAAGATCAGTGTTTGCAGCACCTGAACTCTCATGCATTTGCTGGTGTAGAGAACCCCTCTGATGATCATAAAAAATTAAGAGCCATTGCTGGAGAGAGTTAAAAAGCTTTTAGAATCTCCAATGGCTGCAAAGGTCATTGGTGGTGTTCTGAATGACATATCCATGTAAAGCTTGTCTGGATCACGCCGATCTCCTTCTATATTTGAGTGGTTGATTTAGGAAGAATTATATTAAGGCAATTATGCATGATTCTGTAGTTATTTGTTTCTTTAAATAAGGATAGTTTTGTATATATAAAAAAAAGTTGAGGTCCACAACACAACATATTTGCATGTTAAAGTGTGAGATTGAAGAAAAAAATCAACCATTTGACGCATAACTCAAAAAAGAGAAAACTGCAGCATGTGGCAGATTAAGAATTACAGAACAAGTTGAAGTGAGGATCGTTTACAAATAATTTTATAAAATATAAACTAGAGCAAAGCAAAGCATAAGTATCAATAAGAACACAACAAAGCCTATAATGAAGGTTGTACTAGGCCAAATAACCAAGGTAGAAGAAGTATAATGGTGACAGAAGTTGATTTGTCTGAGTGTAAAGAATAAATCATCCATTTTCAACGTAGCCATGAAAAATAAAATTATGGTAGGATGTAGATTCAGAGTTCGCAAAGGAAATCCAATTAAGAATCATTTAAGTAAAAATTATGCAAATCAATTGATCGAAAGACGCCAACAAAGGAGGCTCAGAATTGCCCAGTTTTCATCAAAATGATACAAAGGATGATAGTGCATGCAATACGTTTGTTTTTGGGTCTGAAGAAGAAGAAGAAGAAGACTAAAAAGATGATGATGATGATGCATACATGCAGTATGAAACAGAAAGGAAATCGGTTGCCTGCATTTAGACCTTCCAGGATCACCTTGCGACATCTGCTTGGGCACATCATCATAGCCCCTTCAAGTAAGAAGACATTTACAACAAAAAATTATGATATAACTACAAATTTACTGATAAACTCACAGAATTCACACAAGAGGATGGCACAATGACTAAAAATGATAACAGATGGAGGAGAAATATGAATAATTATATATTAAATTTTTGTTTGAGAAGCTAATTTTTATTCCTTTTGTTTATAGAGATAATGATGAGGTCATCGACAGGAAGTTTTGGCGAGTCTACCAGAGACGACATCGGAGATCGACGGC